CCCCCCCCGACATAAACAGCAGCAGGAAATTACAAACTGGAAGGCTGACCGTTAACCTCTCTGTGTTTCAGAGCATGCTGAAGGAAGATGAGTTCTTTCACGAGATATCTGTCGACGCAGCAGAACACGATCACATCTCCGGTGTTTGATGGAGACGCTTTGTTAGAAACGATCAAACTGTGCCAACCAGAATCTAACCCCCCCCCCCACCTTTGTAGTAGACATGCTAGACCTCCACCCTGACATTATTCTCGTCCTTCAGAAGTGCAGCCATATCTTTTATTACAATATATATTTATTAAACATATAATGCATGAAGTGAAAATGCCAATGTATCCTTTTTGATTATTCAAGCATGTGAGTTTCATTTTGAGTGAAGTAGGCATACTTGTTATTTCTCCATTTTTATTTTGAGTGTCGTACTCAAGTGCGCGGAGTCATTTTTCTTGTGGTACGTGAAGTTGTTATTTTTTCTACAACAGTTTTGGGATTCTGTATTAGCTTAGCATAAAGACTGGAGTGTTGGCTTTCTCTAGTGCTATATATTAACATGAATCTCAAGGCTTTTCACCAAACATAGTTACGTCTTCCTAGAACTGAAATAATTAGAGTGGCTGGTAACAGATGTTTTTCAATCTGCTTCCAGTCTTTATGCCAAGCTCAAAAACACCAAGTGTATTGATCCTGTTTTTTTTTTGCCACATGTCTAACTTTCCTTTCAGATATTCATGATTGAAAGTAAATATGAAATGCCAAAGTCATTGTTTTTAAATTTTGATAATAAAAACGAGAAACTTATTTTTATCCACAAGTATTTTTATTGGGCCATCATCTTAAACATACAAACTGTTGACATAAGATCACCTGATTTGACTTACAACAAACATGGCATAGTAACCATCCCCCCACCCCCCTACAAAACAAAACCGAAAAGTGTCACAATACGATATAAAAGGAGCAAAAATAAGTAAATAAAAAATACAAGAGGATATCATAAAAGCACAGAAATACAAAGAAACACTGTGTTGCACATTGGGCTGCATGACCATTCACACGCCAAGGGAGACAATCACTTATCATTGCATTATAACCGTCCAGTCTCAAAATAGTAGCTACAGCGTACATTAATGAGTAATAGGATTATCTAATCCCCTAAAGAAGGAATAGAATTAACAAAAGAGAGAATAGGATCCCAGGTTTTGCTAAATGTATCAGAGCATCCCCTTATACTATACTTAATCTTCTCTAAGTATAAGAAAGACATTAACCTGTTAAACCCAAGCGGCAAACTCTGTGGAAGAGCCGGGACGCCAATACGGAAGTGGCCCACACTGCAGTTCATATATTGGCCGATA